GCAACCCAAAATAAATATATACAGAAATCCCTCCCAGAACCTGGAAGTCACTAGTACAGAGCTATCTAATAAAGAGTACAAGTCCCAAAAGTGGACCACAACAGAGTGTGTCTCAAAGGCAACAAGACTAGCTAAAAAAAAAGGAGACAAGACAAACCCAAAACGCCAAGTGCTCACCCTCGTCTTCGAATCATAGCTGCAAAAAAAGAATGGAACTACTCACCTCTGGTAACTGGTACTGAGACCTGCATCACGAAATAGATGCAGAGCGTAACATGAGTACCAAAACAACATGTACTCAGTAGGCATCAAAGGCCGACTGAGCAAAAAGGATAAAAACAATAAGAAATGATAGAATCTAGGCACAGAAAGGTCAAAGCAGATAAGAAAAGAAAGCACACGAGCATACCAGAAACAGACTAAATACCACTAAACTAAACCTAGCTGGACCCCCATAAGCCCAGAAGGTACACTTGTGCGCAAGTTTAAATAAAATCTGAACGAACCCCCATAAGCACGACAGGTACACAAAATAACTAAGTCCAATGAGAAAGAAGAAAATCGGGCACCCAGCCCCAAGTAACCAAGATAATCCATCAGACTCCACCCAGCTAGCAGTACACTCCCAGCCCAGCTAGAAAGAGTGACTCTAGGGGACACCCAACCAAACAGTCCACTCCCAGCCCAGCTAGAAAGAGGGACCCGTGAGTGATGTAGATATCGCGAGTCGTCCTACCATGCAGTCAGCTCCTAGCCTAGCTAGAAAGAGCGACCCGGGGACACCCAGTCAGCAGCACATTCCCAACCCAGCTAAAAAGAGAGGCCCGTAGGCGATCGTCGAAATCAACGAGTCTACCCAGCCAACGATACGCTCCCATCCCAGCTAGAAAGAATGACCCCGGGGGTAAGAGTATCTTCAATAGGATCCAATCCAACAACAGCCACCGTGGAACGCCATCCACTCTAAGAAATCATAGAAAGGGCTTCAATCCTATACTATCTCAATCCCACGCCTCTAGTGATGCTCTGAACCTTCGAGAATGCGTCGAAACCGCAGAATGAGAGGGAAAAGATATAGAAGTGCAACAAGCAACGATAGCGCCTAATCAAAGGCTCAAACTATCAGAATCAAGTCTGCTACTCCAGTCTACAAGGAGTTAAGTCATCCGAATGACGTTGACAGAAAGTCAAGGCTATCCAGCACACACGGGTCATAAGTCTAAGGCAATGCTAGCCTAACCTAGACTAAGGACATCATGCTTACGGGTAAGGATGAACAAGCATACACCACATAGAATACAAGCATGCAATAACATTTAGCACATAAGTATACAACTCTACTAAATCGGTTAACATGATACTATACCCGAAATGTGGCCAATTGATCTTAACATAAGATATCTAATCAAAGTAAAGTAGGAAAGTGGTGCCCACCTCTAATACACTCCAATCTACATGTTTTTACACAATTAAGCTCAATCTAATAGAAAGGAAGTCGTAGCCTACCTTAAGGCCGACCGCACGCGCTCCAAATCACTTTTGCCGAAGCTTTTCCTTTCTGATCAAATATAGGATCACAACGTTAGTACGGTAGTTTAGACACCAAAATCACAATAAACGGAAACGGGTTAATTTTGGAGTCAAAACGGGAATCGTGGGACCCGCACCGAACTGTTCAAATTTGACTCCGTCAAGAGACCCAAACAGTACCCCAAACTTGTGTTCCAAAATGAAACACAATTCAGGACTCAAAATGCAGCAAAAACCAACAAGCAAGAAAATCACACTTTAATCAACTAAAAGAAAACCTACAACAGTCTAAACTCGAAATCTACAAGGATCTAATGGTGCCCATCACTACTTGAACACTCTACAACGAAGCCACGACAATTTTCAACACGTGGGACTTCGAATCACCCAAAACCGAACTAAAATGAGGGAGATATGACCAAAACAAGAATGTAAAAAACAAAAGCTCAAAAAAGGGTATAGCAGTCAGGTTTATCGCGAAATTACCTCGAACTAAGTGCACCCAACAACTTCCGAACACTCTACCACGAAGCCATCGAAAATACGAAGCTCCCGAACTTTGAATTGCCTAATTCGGTTGAGAGATGAGAGAGTTATGAGGGTTTTAAGTTTAGAAAAATTTGCTGATATATCTGCATTTATAGCAGATTTTTCTGCATTAACTTTCCAAAAACTTAAAACTTCGACGGGGTGCTTCGATCTCGTTCGTAACCCCGTGCACGCAGACGATATATGCAACCATACCAAATTCGATATCCTGGACTTAATGGCACAGTCAAAATTTCCATATGAGGTAATCTTGCAAAAAGTAGGTCCCACACCCAAATGTCATTTTAAGTCAAAAACCATCAAAAGGCTAGAAAAAATATCAGAAATCTCGGGTCACAAAAGAAGGGTTAATCTAGACCAAACTTGACATTCTGAAGCTAACCGCACTGACGAAATTCTTATTCGAGCACGTTTACTCAGAATGTTGACTAAAGTCAAACTTAGGCTTAAACTTAAAGTTAAAACGCCTAATCGTACCAACTCACACTGAAAATCTCGGGAGTCATGTCGACCATGCTACTAGCCTAAAATGACCTTTCCAGAACTGATGGAATCGTCAGAATTAGATTTCGATGTCATCTTCTTGAACTTTTGATCGAAAATGATCATTCAAGGTTCATAACTCCAAAAACACTAAAACTCGCACAATAACCAAACGAACGACCAGGTGACCGAATTGTCAGTCCCAGCAAGTTACAAATGACTTGGGATTGCTACAGGAATGCTCTAAATGACACACAAAAGGCAAAACACAGAAATGACCAAGAGGGTCATTACAATATACACTACTAAAAATGACTTTCGTCCGCAAAAGTAAGGGTTAAGAAGTACCTGAAGGCTCAAACAAGCCGGGAAACTGCTCTCGCATCTCCTGCTTGGTCTCCCAGGTAGCCTCCTTGACTGGACGATGCCTCCAACGAACCTTAACAATAGGAATTGCTCTCGAGCGCATTCTTCTCACATCTCTGGCTAGAATGGCAACTGCTCCTCTACAATTGTCAAACGATCATCCAACTCGACTGCATCATACTGTAGCACATAAGACTCATCAGGAACATACCGCCACAATATCAAGAATGGAAAACCGGGTAGATGGCTGAAAATGCTGGAGGTAGGGCCAACTCATAAGCAACCTCCCTAACTATCTGGAGTATCTCAAAAGGCCCAATGTACCTGGGGCTAAGCTTGCCCCGCCTCCCAAACCTCATCACACCCTTCATGGGCGACACACGAAGGAATACCCGATCACCAACAGAGAATCTCAAAGGTCGACGCCTCCGATTCGCATAACTCTAATGCCTACTCTGAGCCATCCTAAGTCTATCCTGAATCACTCTCACCAGGTCCAAAGCCTCATGAATCAAATCTGTACCCCGCGGTCTAGGCTTTGTAAACTCAAACTAGCCCACCGGAGAGCAACAACGCCTACCATACAAGGCCTCGAACGGGGCCATCTGAATGCTAGAATGGTAGTTGTTGTTATACGCAAACTTCGCCAAAGAAAAAAACTGGTCCCAATGACCACCAAACTCCAAAACACAAGCCCGCATCATGTCCTCAAGGACCTGAATAGTACGCTCCTACTGACCATCAATCTACGGGTGGAAAGTTATGCTAAGGTCAACTCGAGTGCCCAACTCACCCTGAAAGGTCCTCCAAAAATTGGACGTGAATTGAGAACCCCTATCTGATATAATAGAAACTGGCACCCCATGAAGTCGAACCACCTATCGAATGTAGATACGAGCCAATATCTCGGTGCTAAATGAAGACTGAACAGGAAGGAAATGTGTTGACTTACTCAATTGATCAACGATGACCCAAATGCTATCAACACCTCTAGAAGTCCACGGTAGTCCAGCCACAAAATCCATAGTAATGCGATCCCACTCCCACTCTGAAATGGATAATCTCTGAAACTCACCACCAGGCCTCAAATGCTCGGCCTTTACCTACTGGCAACATAAGCAACGGGAAACAAAGTCGGCAATATCTCTCATCATGCCACTCCACCCGTAATACTGCCTCAAATCACGATACTGGCAGCACAAGCAACGGGAAACAAAGTCAGCAATATCTCTCCTCATGCCACTCCACCAGTAATGCTGCCTCAAATCACGATACATCTTCGCTGTGCACGGATGGATAGAGTATCTAGACACATGGGCCTTAGAAAGTATCAACTGTATCAAATCTCCAACTCTCGGAACACAGATGCGGCCGGCGAATTTCAATACTCCAGCAGGATCTAAGGTAGCCTGACCACCATCACCCGCTAACACTCGATCTCTAAGGGCCACCAAGGTCTCATCCTCATACTGACAACCACAGATCCTATCAAGCAAAGAAGACTGAACTCCCATATAGGCCAAGACGCGTCTAGAATCTAAGATATCCAACTGAACCATGCTATTGGCTAAGAAATGAATGTCCAAAAGCCAAAGGGGTCACTCCTCAACAGATAAGAAGCCTAGACTACCCATATTCACCGCCTTCCGGCTCAAGGCGTCTGCTACCACATTTGCCTTGCCCGGATGATAGAGAATAGAGAGGTCATAGTCCTTCACGAGCTCAATCCAACGACGTTGCCTCGAATTAAGGTCCATCTGGCTCATGATGTACTAAAGACTCTTATGATCGATATAGATCTCACATCGAACTCCATACAAGTAGTGCCTCCAAATCTTAAGTGCGAAAACTACCGCCGCCAACTCTAAGTCATGGGTGGGGTAGTTGCGCTCATGAATCTTAAGATGTCTCGACGCATGATAACCCGGCCCTGCTGCCTCAATACACAACCCAAACCAATGCCGGATGCGTCACAATAAACCATGAATCTCCCGCCCTTAACTGGAAGAGTCAATATAGGAGCAGTGATCAATAACTTTTTGAGCCTCAAAAAGCTCGCCTCACACTCATCTGACAAAACAAAGGGAACATCAACACGAGTCAACCG